CTACAGTAGTGGGGGTAGAGAGAGAAGAGGGGAGGGGAGGGGAGGGGAGGGGGGATAGTGGAGGATAGGAAAGGCAGCAGAATACAACAGACATGAGTATATCAATATGTAAATCAATGGAAGTGCAACTGATGGGATTCTGCAAGCTGTATACGGGGTAAAATGGGAGTTCATAACCCAATTGAATCAAAGTGTGAAATATGATATATCAAGAACTATGTAATGTTTTGAACAACCAACAATAAAAAAAAATAAAAATAAATATCACGTTAAATAAAAAAAGTGATTAAAAAAAATATAAAACAACCACTCCTAAACAAGTTTGTAGATTTATAAATAACTACCTTCAATAATTTGACTTTGTATTAGTTTCTAATTTACCAAATATTTAATTTTAGTAGGTTTTAATTATACGCCATCTTATAAGGTTTCTGAACACAGATCTTTTCCACAAATTTGAAAAGCCAATCCATAAATTTAAAAAATAAAGCAATCTTATAAAATATGGAAATCAACCTGCAACAGTGAAAAGAAAGCCTCTGAGACATGAAAATTCTAAGAGAAAATAAGAATTTTAAAAGCAAAAGATGACTGGTGTATGTCATAATAAATAGGAAAGAAATCACAATCACATATTCAAAATAAACTACCTATTAGATAAATAAGCCTGAGGTAAGGAAGTTGGAAAAATAATTGTAGATGGATATAGAATTATAGGTGGATAGTTGTTTTCCCTGGTTATACAAAGTTATCCAACTATCTTCTGTCCTGTTATTTTTTTGTATTGGAATTAAACCCAGGCTATTGCACATTAACTTGTTCCTTTTTGTTGCTTGCTTTTGTATATTTARGTTGGATAACTTCTATATAACTTGTTTTATTAATATTGGGAAAGTATCTGAACTCAATAGAAGATATACAAAGAGCCAAAAAGCATATACAAAGGTGCTCAACAAATCAGGAGTGGTATAATCCCAGTAGTTTGGGAGACTGAGGGAGGAGGATCACCAAGTTCAAAGCTAGTCTCAGCAACTTAGTGAGGCTATGTCTCAAAATAAAATATACATATATATATTTTAAAAAGAAGGGGGCACTGGGAATGTGGCTCAGTGGTTAAGCGCCCCTAGGGTTCAATCCCTGGTATCAAAAAAAAAAAAAAAACCACTGTTCAACATCATTAATCATATACAAAAATACAAATCAAAACTGCTTCACACCAATTAGGAGACTATAATAATATTTTTAAAGGGAAAATAAAAAGTGCTGGTAAAGATGTAGAGAAACTAAATCCCAAGTGTTTCTGGTGTATCTAATGTGAAAACAATCTGACAGTTCCTCTAAAAGGTAAATGTTTATTGTAAAAATAGTAACGAATTGCTATATGACCCAGTAATTCCACTCCTAGGTATGGAATAAAAGAAATTGATCCTTAAACTAGGAATGGAACCACCATATGACCCAACTATCTCATTGCTTGGTATATATCCAAAAGAGCTAAAATCAGCACACTACAGGGATACAGCCACATCAATGTTTAAAACAAAACAATTCAAAACAGCCAAGTTAATGGAACCAATCTAGGTGCACTTTTGATAAGCCTCTCAGGAAATCCTAATATACACAAATGTTTCAGGAATTTGTACAAAGGGTAGAACAATAATTTGAGAAATGACTTTCAGAGTGAAATACTTCAAGATAAGAATTATAATAAACCTACCTGTGTAGCTTTGTCCCTCATGCAAGGTGCAGCTTGCCCATGACTGTCACGAGGCCAGTGCCCAGCTAGGTATGGAGCTGCAAGTGTATCCAGGGAAGAAGTGCGACGGATAATACTGGAAGGGCTTGAGGAAGGAGGTCGCGTTTTGTCACCTAGATTTAAAAAATATGTATTTATTTTAAAAATAGCTTAGGAAGAAAACAAGTTATATAGAAGTTATCCAACTTAAATATACAAAAATAAGCAACAAAAAGGAACAAGTTAATGTGCAATAGCCTGGGTTTAATTCCAATACAAAAAAATAACAGGGCAGAAGATAGTTGGATAACTTTGTATAACCTGGGGAAAAAACTATCCATCTACAATTCTATATCTAGTTATATATTATTCAAAAGCGAGGATGAAACATTAATTCTCAGATGACTAACAAGATTTACCAAGCAAAGACACCCTCTGAAAAATATTACTTTTTAAAGAAAGGTACCACCAAAAGAAGAAGATCGAAAAGATCAGATCAGGGTTTAAGAAGCAGCACTGACAAGCAAATAAATTAACAAACTAATGGATAAAATAAGTAAACATTTACTGTAAAAATAATAACTAAGCAGTTTAAAAAAACTAAAATACTAGATAACAATATGAGAATTGGGATAAGGGTGAATGGACGGGGGAAAAAAAGGGGACTCTATTTTAGCCTAGGGAGTAATGTTTTAAAATTTGGTACTTTATAAATATCATGAACATATATGTCAATAATCAGCTTCAAAGTGCTAGCTGTTAACTTTCTTCTTTTTGGTGGGGTCATGGAGTATTAGGGAATGAACCCGGGATGCTTAACCACTTTATTTATTTATTTATTTTTTAGAGAGAGTGGG